AGGCCCCCGATGAACGGCAGAACCAACCGGCTGGACGTGGATCGGGCCCGTCTCCAGCCCAGCACGGGTCTGAGCTGAGCTGGCTGCTGCGTTGCTGGGGGGAAGCGCTGGACGGCAGCGCAGTGCGCAAGCCCCGACCCCAGGGCAGGTGCCATCGGGGCTGGGCTGGGGGAGGCGAATGGCTGGGAGGTGCACCCCAGGGCTCTGCGTGGCACAGGATTAGCAGGAAGGAGCCAGGTGTCCTGGGGGAGTGGGTACCGTGTTACTGGGCTGTCTCTGGCAGGGGCAAACCCCGGACCCTCAGTGGAGCTCCCCCGTTCCCAGCGCCTGGGCCAAGAGGTTCTGTGACTTTGCTCTGCTGGCTGACCTGGGCCCTGCTGCAGACTGCGGAGTGCCCTCTCCGTCCTGGGGCAGCAGGGCCAGGGCCAGAGGTTGGCGCTGGAGACAGCCCTGGGCTCGGGCCAGGGTGGTAGCGAAAGAATCAAAGACAGTCCCTCTCGTGTTCTGCTAAAGAGGAGGCTCTGGGGGCCCAGGCCGGGACCAGCCCTGCCACCAGAGCAGAGTGTAGGTGGGGAGAGCATCAGACGTAAACACAAGGGCCAGACTCACGTGCCAGAGTCAATTGGGGTGTCTCCTTGCTGCCAGTGGGGTTACACTGGTGTAAGCGATGGGAGTCTGGCCCCAGCAAGCATCTGAGCTCAGGGGGGCCCATGGGACTGGGCCACTCCTGGCCACTGCGGCCTCCCTCTCCGGCACCGGGACCAGGGGAGGAGGCACCTCGCAGCCCAGCCCCCCAACCTCGCCCATCAACTCCCCGCCCGGTGCCAAGCCCAGGCTGGTTCCCACCTGGGTCCTGCAGAGAGAAAGGCCTGGCCGGGGCAGGCCAAAGTCAAAGCAAGGGAAGGTCCCTGCCAGCCCTGAGCCAGCCCCGCAGGGTTGCCAACTCCACATAGCAGGAAGTCACCAAACCCTGAATAGTTCCTAGATGCAGCTGTTTAAGCTCTCAAAAGGAGTCAAAAATGTCACCAAACAAAATTGCTAGAGAATTCATTCACAAGCAGATCAACAGTGTTAATAAAATCCATTCCATCTCTTCTTACTACGTTCTGTTCCACACCAGAAGCAACGACACCAGGACGCTGACATCATCAGGAGGGCGTTCTTCCGCCCTCTGCTCTTTGGGAAGGGCGCTCGGTACAGGGCAGCCCAGCCTGGCTGCGGTTGGTTAATTTCAGCCGAGCCTCCCTTTCTTGCCACCCTGGATCTGAGCCCACGGGTGAGTGAAAGGAAGAGCCCAGAGCCGGGGGAAAGGGGCATTCACCTGACCTGAGCACGGCGCTGCAGGGAGCCAAGGAAGTAGATTTAAAAACAAAAATCCCCCAGCCGGACCCCTTCCCCCTGCTTCCAGGGGTTCATTTCTGAAAAGAGCTGGGCAGTGACCCCCCAGGCCAAGCCAGGGGAAGGGGTAAAGGGGAACTGAAGTCAAACCAGCTCCACCTTTGATCTGTAGTAAGGGTTTCATCCCTGGGGGCACTGTGCCCCTGCTCCATTGGGGCACATGGCCCTGTCTCATCCCCCCTCCACCTTCCATCCGTGTGGCTCTCCTCGCTGGCTAACCTGCCTCCCCCACCCAGCCCGCTTCATTAGCCGGCTTCCCCTGCATCACAGGCTGTGCTGCCTACTGCGGAGCAGCGAGAAAGAGCAGCTGGGTAAAAACAAGCCCTGGCAAATGTGCTGCTCTCTCCAAAATGCGCCTGGCTTTAGCACCGTATTTAATTAGCCCCCACCAACTTCTTTTCCTCGCCTGCAGATGAGTGAGCTCGGCCCAAGCAGCCCAGGAATGCGATTCCTTCCGAGGACACGCTCAGCTGAGACGTAATGACACGGCCTTGGGGTGCAACAGACCGTAGTAAGAGCACGGAATGGGTTTTAGGAACACTATGGAGCTGCGTGGGACTGATCTGGTGACCACACATATTGGTGACGTCTGTCTCTGAACGTCACTGTCGTTGGCAGCGAAAGTCGCTAGATTTGTCACTGGTCACTTGGACACTTATTTTCTCGCTAGGGCACCAAAAAGTCACTAAGTCTGGTGACAAAGTCGCTAAGCAACACGGCCGGCGGCACCTGCGCCCTCCGTGCCCACCGCAACCTGCAGCACGAGCCCAAGGCAAGGGGCGAGACCCAGAGGAGCCCGGGAGGCTGGGAAAGCCCTCGTTCGCATGGGGCAGTCAGCCAGAGGCCAGGCTCATGGTGGGGAGGCAGGGGAGCACTGACTGAGGGGCCTGGCCTATCCCCTCCCTAGCGGAGGCAGCCAGTCCCGGAGATCCCGCCTGGGGTCGGTGTCCAGATCCCTGGGGCTCACTCACAGAAGGGAGGGATCTCTGCTCCCCTGCTCCGTTCTCTCACTCAGCCATTGCCGACCTCCTCCCCCGGGCAGTTCTGCCGGGACAGATGGCAGCGCGAGCCGTGGGGTATCCCCATCCTCCTCGGCCACTCTCCTGCCCCTTCCTCCTACTGATCTCGGAGGGCTTCCCACCCGGGGCTCAGCCCACCCCTGAACAGCCCAGCCTAGGAGGCAGAGCAATTCATGCAGGCAGCCGGGACAGGACAGAGCTGGGACTGAGGCCAGCCTCCAGGGTTAATCCCCCAGGGGCTCAGGGCCTCCTGTTTGCAGACTGGCCCTAAGGGAAAGCCTCCACCAGCTCCCCTCCCAAGCTTACAAACGGGGAATGGGCTCGTGCTGGGAGATCTCCCCACATCCCACCCTTGCCCTAATGAGGATGGTAAATAGCCCCCACCTGGGGGAGCCAAGGAACCCCCCCCCCCCCCGCACTGCCCTCATTGCCCCGCTGCCATCTGCTCCATTGGGTGCCAACCAAGGGCAGCCCACGCTTGCTGCCTTTGGCTAATGATGCCCCTGGCGTGCTGCCCCTTTAAGGAGCCACTAACGAGGGAGCCCTGGAGGTTATTTATTTGCAGGTGGGAGCAGCTGTAGTTTCTTGCTCTCCCTGGCTGGGGGGATCCTCCAGGTAAGAGGCTGCTTTAGCCCTGGGAGCTCTGGCCCTGGCCAGGAGCTATTGCCAAGGGCAGCATGATGCACCCAGGGCTGAGCAGGTGGGCAGTGGCATGGTCCTTGCATTGAATCTCCCTGGCCATGGGCGGGAGGGGGCCGGGCCAGCCCAGCCTGGAGCAGAGTTCCCCTTGGGTGCTTTGCCATCGTTTTAGCTGTTTGGTTGTCCTGATCCCAGAGCACCGAGGGGCTTCCTGCCCCCGGCCTCCCAGAGGTGAGCTCAGGGTGGGGCATCTGCCCCCAGCTGGATTCTGGCCTGTGGGCCGAGCACAGACAGGTGGCTAGGGCTGCAGAGAGGGCCTGAGCCGAGCCCTGGGCTAGCAGCCTCTGAGCCAGGGCGCCAATGGAGGTGGGGGGGGTGCTGAGGCCACCCCGGCCCTCCCAGTGCCACCCAGGGACCTGCCCGGTGAGCCACGGCCCAGCTTATGTGCCTGGCATTTGGGGTGTGGCGCCGGGTGGCCTGATGAGCATGGCAGAAGGGCACTTGACCCCTTCCGTATTCCCGGAGGCCTTTCCGGGTGCCCAGCTGCCGAGAGAGGCCAGTCCCCGAAGTGGGAGCCAGCCGCCCGGCCAGGACTGAGCCCCCTTCTCCTCCCTCCACCAGGCCTCTCGTCACCCCCCATGGATTTCTTCTGCCGGAAGCGCGCGCGGTCAGACTCGCCGCCCAGGGCCGCGGCGCCGGTGAAGAGACACGGCTCCTGCCCGGTGGCCCAGAGACCCCAGCCGGCCAGGCCGGAGAGCCGCCCGGAGCTCTGCCCCTTCCTGGCTGGTCTCTTCCGCCCCAGAAGCGCCAAGGAGGGCCTTTCCGCAGCCCGCAGGGGGAGCTCCCGGGAGCCAGCCTCAACGGTGGAGGAGAGGGTCCCGCTTCTGGGGGACAACCCCAAAGGTCTGCTGGCTGCTGTCAGGACCCCGATGCCACCTGGCCTGGATCCCGAGGACCCAGGTGTCCTGCCTCCGTCCACTCTGGCATGGCCCACTCGCCAATAGCTTTCACTGAGATCTGATTGGCAGCAGCCAGGGCCCAGTGCGTGACGGGGGGGCCGTGGAGAGACTGGCCCGAGAGTGCTTTGGGTTGGATGTGGGGTGAGGGCAGGGGGCTCTGATCCGAGCCCCAGCCCCTTTTCTTGGAGGGCGGGAGTGCCCTGGAGGGGGTGAGTTTCAGTGCCCATATCCGGGACCAGGGAGAGCCCTGGGCCTGACTCCTGCTAACTCTGGAAATTCATCTCAGGCCTGACCCACAGCACCCGCTCTTCCAGCCCTGCCCCCAGCTCTGCCAGTGCCCCTCAGGCCTGACCCACAGCACCCGCTATTCCAGCCCTGCCAGTGCCCCTCAGGCCTGACCCACAGCACCCGCTATTCCAGCCCTGCCCCCAGCTCTGCCAGTGCCCCTCAGCCTGACCCACAGCACCCGCTATTCCAGCCCTGCCCCCAGCCCTGCCAGTGCCCCTCAGGCCTGACCCACAGCACCCGCTATTCCAGCCCTGCCAGTGCCCCTCAGGCCTGACCCACAGCACCCGCTATTCCAGCCCTGCCCCCAGCTCTGCCAGTGCCCCTCAGGCCTGACCCACAGCACCCGCTATTCCAGCCCTGCCCCCAGCTCTGCCAATGCCCCTCAGGCCTGACCCACAGCACCCGCTATTCCAGCTCTGCCAGTGCCCCTCAGGCCTGTCCCACAGCACCCGCTATTCCAGCCCTGCCCCCAGCCCTGCCAGTGCCCCTCAGGCCTGACCTGCAGCCCCCCACTGTTGCAGGCGAGTGCTCTCCCGTTATCCAGGTGATGGGTAGGTGGCATCAGGCTCACCATGCAGAGGCAGTTGCCAGGATCTCCAGCTAGCTCTGCCGGCGTCTGGCTCTGATTGGCCCCCGCGAGGCTGCCAGCTCCCTGGGGGCGCTGGCGAGCTCAGCCCAGCGGCGATGGGGAGCAGAGGCGGGCACAGGTTTTGTTTTGACGACGTGGCTCCGGTGCAGCGCGGTGCCAGGTCGACTCCTCTGCCCCTGCACCATCCTCATCCCCTTGCTCCTGCTCTCCCTAGGGGCTGACTTGCCAGGCAGTGCTGTCCCTGCCCCCCTCCGCTGCCAGCCCTCTCCTCCCACCGCCGAGCTGGCGGCCCCCGAGAGCATGGGCCCGGAGGAGCCGGTGGAGGAGCCCCCTAGCTCTGCAGGGCCAACGGGCCCTTCTGGCCTGCTGGAAATGGGGACAAAGCTGCCCATCCCGGTCCCCGGGAGGAAGGTCCTGCATGGCTCCCTGGAAGATCTCTCCAAAGCCACAGTTACGCAGATGCCAAGCCCGGAGCGCAGGTAACCCGCCTCCCCGCGGAGAGCTCCCCGCATCGCTGCCCTGGGGCTGGGACGTTGTCTCTTAGTTGCAATGTAACTTGTGCATAGAGAGGGATTCTTGCTTCCTTTTCCTTGAAGCTTCTGGCATATCCATGGCAATACCCAGTAATCATTCCGGGAGGGGTGCAGGGGTTGAATGGGGAGTACCCAGCGATGCCCTCTAGTTCCCACCACAAACCAAGCTCTGCCCGTGAAGTGCCTGTCTTTGGGCAAATCTTTGTAATATGATTTCTAAGTTCTTTGGTGCTTTGAGCGTTGATGCTTTATGTGCCATCATTAGGTTTCAGAGTGAATAACTCCTTGGATTAAGCAGAGGGCTGTTCCTGTCTGGTCTCCCATAGCAGTGGTTCCAGGCTGCCTGCAGGCTTAGTGTGTTGTGCCCCCCTCAGTTCCCATTTTTATAGTTATTGTTGCAGCCAAGGGGCTAGCAGCTTCATTTGGGTTGTAACGAAAGATTTTTCGAGCACAAGAGGGCAGTGACCAGAAAATGGCCTGGCTCTCTGAGCCTCTGCAGACTGGTTTAATTAAACCCCGGCCCAGATCCTTACACTTCCCAGACCCTGAAGCTGGCCTTTCCGGCTGGGACCCACCCCTATTGCTATAATGGGATGATCCAAACATCTGGAACTTTGGGGACATTTGGGGCAGAGTTGGGGTTTATAATTCAGGCCCGGCTCTGATGATGACCTCATTTCTCTGGTACCTTTCAGAGCAGAAGGATAGCCCAGTGGGTAGAGCACTAGCCCAGTACTGGGGAGAGCTGGATTCAAAGCCCTGTTTTGCCACAGGTTTTGTGTGTGACCTTGGGCGAGTCACGTGGCTTCTCTGCACCTCAGTTTCCCATCTATAAAATGGCCATAAGAGCGCTTTCCTTCCTCACAGGGGTGTTGTGAGGATAGATACAATGCAAAGATTGAGGCATGGTCTTACCCACCTCCTGTGTGGGAGATAATTAACACTATACATCACCCAATGTGCAGTAACTGTGGAACTCGCTGCCACATGATGTCATCGGGCCCAGAACTTGGCAAGATCCAAAAATGGATTGAATGCTAATATGGATAATGAGAATACCCAGAGTTTCCATGGTTCAAGGTAACCGTTCTGGAGGGATGTCAAACCTCCCACTTCAGCGTTTTAAGCCAATCTCTAGCTATAAGAAATCAGGAAGAGACCTGATCTGAGGAGCAGACTATTCCACACTGGTTCTCACACCTCCTCTGAAGCAGCTGGTGCTGGCCACTGTCAGAGACGGGACACTGGGCTAAGTGGACCTTATTTCTGATCCACCTGGCATATTCCTACATATCCATTTTACACCTGTGTACATTGAGGCACAGAGAGGTTTTGATTTGCACAAGGACACAAATGAGTGACCAAGGCCAGCAGGTGGCGCTGTAGGGCATGAGGCAAACCCACCAGCAGGTGGCGCTGTAGGGCATGAGGCAAACCCACCAGCAGGTGGCGCTGTAGGGCATGAGGAAAGAGCCGGAGTTATGGGGGAAGTTCATGTTTGCTGTAGTATGGGGCTGTCCCGGTGGGACCTGGTTTAAAAGGGTCTTGCTGCCTTTTAGACTGTTCCGCCGACCGCTGGGGAAAGGAGCAAAGGACCCGGACAAGTGGAAGAGGGAATCTAAATACGTGCAAACCCGTGAGTACTGACCCGCTCCTTGTGCGATGGCCGCACGGTCCCGGGCATGGCGGGAGGAAGGGAAACTTCTAGAAGGCCTTCTGGAGGCTGCTGCCATGAACAAGCCCTAACGCGGGCCACACAATGCTACTTCCACCAGCCCGGCCCTAGCCAGGAAGGGGAAACTGAGTCACTAAACCTTACAAGCCTGTCCCGGAGGAGGCTGTCCCTTTAAGAGCCTACTCAATTGTGCTGTTGCAAAACCGTGATGTCTTTGTCTGTTGTGTGCTGGGCCTCAAATGTCTAAGACCTCTCCTGGGCAGCAGAGGGGAAGCCCACACCCTGCGCTCTCTCCTGAGGACTCCGCTCTTGTTCTTTCTAGGCTGGTTGTTTCCCTTCAGGTAAAATAAGCTGCCGTTGGAGTTACACGCGTCACGCTGAAATCGGAGCCACTTTTACACAGCTCTCTCTGCACTAAATTCACGCTGAAGAGAGCGAGCTTTTCCTTGCGTGCAGATTGTTTAATGGTCTCCGGCAGTGGGGGGAGAAATGAGAGAACCCCGGGGTTAGAAGGGACCGCGAGGGTCAGCCAGTGTAACCCCCTGCCGAGATGCAGGTTTTCTTGTGGCTAAAGCATGAGACACAACACACGAACACCTGCCATCTGCTCAGGGCTGGTTTGAATTTGCTGAGGGCATCTCCAAGACCCAAGGGGTGGTTGGAACAGAGCTGGCTACTCCAGTTCTCCATCCGTTAAAGGTGAAGGCAGCAGGCAGTGACTTCCGTCGGAGTGGGCTACGGGCGCGCATTGGCCAGCCGTGCTCATGGGGATGCTGTGCCGGGGCCCAGAAACGGCTACGGCCCCCCCCCGAAGTGCAGGAGAGGGTTTCGAAGTGTCCAGGGCCGTGTGCGGAGCAGGAGGGTTGTGTCACCAGACCTGGGATTAGATGACGCGTTAAAGGACGGCAGTTATTCATGACGCGCTCTGGGAAGCCCCTGTGGCTAATGTCACGCTCATTTCGCTCCCTCCCAGAGCCTCTCTACCAAGACTACTGGATGAAGCGCCTCAAGGCGGCGGAGCGCAAGCCCAAGGAGCCGGCCTTCCGGGTGGACGCCAGCCTGTCCATCGCTGGCCTCCTCTCCTCTTCCCTGCTCGGCGCCGCCTCGCCGCTCTCGTCCCGCGACTACAGCTTCTGCTTCTGGCAGGAGATCCCAGAGGTGAAGAGCAGGCGGCTCCTGGAGGGTCTCACGCCCCAGCAGCACCGCCTGCAGGAGGTAGCGGAGGGCGGCCGCCTCTCGGACTGGGAGGGAGGGAGGGGCTGATGGTTTGATTGCGCGGCTGGCTGGCAAGTAGGGGGTGCACGTTCCCACCCGCCAGAGGCGGGTTCACTCCAAGCAGAAGCTGCCCCAGCAGAGGTGCCCCCCACGAGGCGAGGGGAGGGACAATGTTCTGCAGAGAGCTGCCATCTGCTGCAGCCACAGTCGGATCGCTCTGGGGCACCTGCAGTGTGGGGATGGTACCGCAGAGTGGGCAGCGCTGGGGGGGGGGGGAGGAGCAGGGTGCCCTCCACCCCCAGATCCAGCAGTTCTGGTCCCTGCCCTGGTGGAAGCAGAAGGGGGGCATGGGACAGTGCTGTGACTGGGCAGTGCCACCTCAGACAAAACGCTGCCCACTTGGGGGTCAACCAGGAACATGCAACCTTGAAAACGTGCCAGGAGACTGATGCTCTCTATCAGCCTTGAGGACAGAAGCTGGCCTGTGGCTTGTTCTGGGATGTGCGGCTCCCTCTGGTCTCTGGGGCTGGCAGCCTGGCACCCACCTGCTCTCCTACTCCAAAGGGGGCATTTGCCCCACCTCTGCCCCCAGCACCTTAGAGGGTTCCCAGTGCTGTTGCTCTAATAGAAATAGACACACCATTGGAGAGCCTGGATTTCAGTGCGTTCCCAGCAGGGCTGGCTGCTGACGCCTGGTCCCCTAGCACACGGTGCCACCCTCGCCAGCGGATGGTGTGAAGGCCAAGACTCTAACAGGGTTCAAAAAAGAACTAGATAAGTGCATGGAGGATAGGTCCATCAATGGCTCTTAGCCAGGATGAGCTGGGAATGGGCGACAGGATGGATCACTCGATAATTGCCCTGTTCTGTTCATTCCCTCTGGGGCACCTGGCATTGGCCACTGTCAGAAGACAGGATACTGGGCTAGATGGACCCTTGGTCTGACCCAGTCTGGCCGTTCTTATGTGTCTGCGTCAGTTGATTAAGCCGCAGGCCTGGAACCTGGATTCCTGGGTTGTATTCCCGGCTCTGCCCTGGCGCAGCCCTGTGCCAGTGCCCAGTGGGGATGCCAGCTTTGGTTGGATGAATTCCTGGAGACTCCAGGACAATCCATACTGCAGGAGTCCCCAGAGCAAGAGGCCTGTAACGGAAGAGAAGCGCTTCCTATAGGCGGACCGGGGAAGGGACATGGCTGAGGCATTCCTCTGTGCCAGTGCGCTCTGGCTGCGGGAGCAGCCCAGGCAGCTGTGCTCCTTCCCTGGTGACTGTGCGCCAGCCCGACTTGGGTACTCGTGTTTGCAAAGTGATTTAGATGCCTGGCTCCCACTGAGTTCAGGGAGGTGTCTAAGTCCCTTTAGCCAGCTGGCCCGGAGCCCCTTGGTGTGTCCCACGGCGCGGGGGGTTCCCAGGCCCTGCTGGGCTGGCTCGCTCACCCCTGTCTCTTGACGCACGGTCTCTGCTCCAGGCCATGTTTGAGATGATCACGTCGGAGGCCTCCTACCTGCGCAGCCTCTCGGTGGCCACGAGCCACTTTAAGGGATCGCTGGCGCTGCGGGAGACGCTGACCAGGGCCGAGGTGCACCGGCTCTTCTCCAACCTGCAGCAGGTGAAAGAAGTCAGTGAAAGGTAACTGCGGCCGGTGGGGAATGCCCAGTCCCGGCCTCGCCCAGCGGGGGGCGCTGCAGGGAGGGGGCGGGAGCGCTGGTGTGGAGGGAGCCCCCAGCTACTCCCGCCCGAACCTCGCTCAGTGGCAGGATTCTTTCCCTCGCCTCCTGGTCTCTGCAGGTTTCTCCTGGAGCTCGAGGAGCACATGGACAAGGACGTCTTCCTGGCGGGGCTGGGGGCCGTGGTTCTGAAGCACTGCCCCGCCTTCCACAGGGTCTACATCCCCTACGTCACCAACCAGATGTACCAGGAACAGCTCATGCAGCAGCTGATGTGAGGAGCCGCCGGGCCTCAGGGGGTAGGGTGGGGTGGGGGGGAATAACCGGGGGCTGCTCATGCCCCAATTGCTCCTCCCCACTGTCTGTGCCCCTTGGAACAGCCCATCTGCCCCTTCCCATGGGGACACTGAGGCTGAACCTCAGGAAAACCTTCATGCCAGTGAGAGCTGAGCGTCTGCGAGGCGTCCCCGGGGGATGCTTGGGCTGTTTGGAGCTAGACTGGGCACCGGCCTGTAGGGGAAACCCCAGTAATGTCCCTTGGGGAGGATTCCATAACTCACTAAGTCTCTCTCTGTCCTCCAACTTCTCCATTGTGGAGAGGTGTTTCTGCTGAAAATGGTCACCCATTGTTACACTAAGTGGTTGTCATTAAGTTCCAGAGTTAACGCGTTATTTTGACGCCTGAGGGCAGCTGACCCCATTCCCCTGCTTGCGTACAGATTTGGGAAGGGACATGCTCCCAGCTGCAGGGTCTCTTTGGGGCTGGAATGGCCAGTAGCTTGCTGGCTCCTGGCCTAGGCGGTGCTCAAGGGGTTAATGGGGAGGTCAGGTCCCTCCTGGGCTCAGGCAGGAGAGGTGAGCTGGGGCAGGAATTGATATGGGTCTGCATTTCCGTTTTGTACCTTCCCGGCTTGGGGGAGGGTATCCTTCATCTCCTCCCCCCCACACCCCACTGCTCAGGAAATCCCAGCATCAGGCCTTGCCCGCACTCAACCTCTGGCTCTAGTGCAGACACAGCCGGGCCTGTCCAGCCGGGGTCTCTGGGCAGCATTTGCCCTGGCGCCTGTAGCCCAGTGAGCGAGGGAAGTCAGGGCCACTCTCCCGGGGTGGTTCTGGCCTCGGGGCCCCTCACCCGCCCCCTCTCCCCCGCACGCTGCAGGCGGGAGAACTGGCGCTTCCGGCACATCCTGAGGAAGCTGGAGGAGCAGCCGGTGTGCCAGCGGCAGCCCCTGAAATCCTTCCTGGTGCTGCCCTTCCAGAGGATCACCCGCCTGAAGATCCTGCTGGAGGTGAGGGGCCGGAGCCAGGAGCCGGCTGGAATCTCACTCGGGGGTTGGCTGGGGCTGGCCTCCCAAGGATCCTGCCTCAGAGGGGCACAGGCTGCCCCGGCCAGCGTCCTCTGAGCTGCAGCCAAAGCAAAACGCTGGGGTGACGAGGGGGCTTGTGTGCAGGAGGAGAGGGGTAGGGACGGGCAGGGAGAGAGGGGAAGGCTCTGTCTGTGTAGGGAGGTGGGGGTGGGTGGGAGGGAGGGGGAAGGGTCTGTGGAGGGAGGGGGGGGGGGGGGGAAGGGTCTGGGGAGGGAGGTGGGGGGGCAGGAGGGAGGGAGGGGGAAAGGTCTGTAGGGAGATGATGGTGGGATGGAGACACCCTCCCATGACAGATCCTCCTTCTCTCTCCTCTGCCCCACAGAACATCCTGAAGCTGGCCCCGGCGGGCTCAGAGCTGGCCAGCTCCATCGGCGCGGCCCTGAGGGCAGTGGGAGAGGTAAGGGCACCATTGGGTGCTTGTGGGAGGCAGCCCCAGGCTGGCTGTGCCGGTCCCCGCGCCGTAGCAGTCCTCACGCCGCCTGCCTTGACCCGCCGTTCGCGCCCCAGCGGCCTTGCGAGGCAGCATGCGGAGATGGCCTACGCTCGGGGGGCCTTGTTCCTCGGCTCCCTGGCGGAGCTGGGGGAAGTGGTAGGAGAAAGTTCTGGTCGGAGTCTGTTCCTGGTTCTCTGCTCGTCCCGGCCCATGAACTCACTCCGCCCAGTGCGGACTCAGCCCCTGACCGCTTCCCGCACGTGCTGCGTCCTGCTGGCCTCTGCTCAGCGACCCGCTGCCTTTTGTGCTTTGAAAACCTCTGACATCGGGGGCCTATATCTCGGCGTTCCCACCCCCAGACCTGAGCCACCTGGCCAGCATGCTCCAGCCGAACGGTTTCCTTCCCCAAGGGAGGCCAGAATGCAGAACGTCCAGGGTCTCACGTTCCCAGGCTCCGGGGAGCCCAAAAGGTGACTGGATGGGGGCAATAAAACAGGTGTGGGCCATTTTATGCCGCAGGGAATTCCTGGAAGGTGTTTTTAAATAGGGATTTTTCCTGCGTTGCTAGTGTGGTAATAGCCCATCTTCTCTTCCCTGACTTCCCCAGAGCCCTCCAGCGAGGGGGTGGGAGTGAGCTGGGGCTTCCTCCTCTATTAACTGGGGGCCCGGGTTGAATCTTTAACAAGTGCTTTTCTCCCAACTGTTTCTCGGGCCTTTGAGTTAATCGTGTTCAGAAACCGCCCGAGTTTAAAAACCAAAGTCCCTTCCCGTCTGAATGAATCAGGCTTCGCTTCCTTGTCCTCAGACTCGCGCCGGTTCTCCCCGGAGGCTTCCCCAGGAGTAACGGGGGAGGCCGGAGTCGGGATTTCTTACCTAGAACCCGCAGAAGCGCTGGGGTGAAAAGAATCCTCCGTCCCCACTCCAGATGTTCTAGCCGAGGTCTGCTCCCCGGGCAGAACATCACCTGTGCCTAGGGCCCTGAGGTGACAGCATCCCAGGGGGTCTCTGCAGGGTGGGACGCCTGAACGTCTGAGCCTCTGTCCCCGGCACCCAGGGACCTAATGCGACACCCCACAGCCCATCCCGAACCTGGCTGGTGGCACCCTGGGGCGAGTGAGAACTAGGGCAAAGCCTGGGCACCCGCAACAGATCCTGGGCCAGGAGGCGCCATGTGCACCTGACTCGCCAATCTTCGGCGGGAGCAGGGAAATGTCCCATAATGCCCCAGACCAGCAGTGTCCAAGGGCAGGAAAACCTTCCTTCCCGTCCCCTGGGGTGTCCTGGATTCCCTGGTCTCTGCCCCCTCCGGTGGGTGGCAGGGGGTGGGGGGAGCCCTGGCCAGAGCGCCCAGCTCCCCCCCTGCAGGGCCTGCAGCTTCCCTTGCCCTGCCTCAGATCGTGTCGGCCTGCAACGAGAACGTGCGGCACATGAAGCAGACGGAGGAGCTGGTGCTGCTGGAGAAGCAAGTCGAGTTCGTAAAGACGAAGGTGAGGCCTGGCTCTGCGCTGGGGTGGCTCTTGGTGATCCAGCCCCACGGTGGGGGCATGTGGGGGGAGGGCTGTGGGGCTGGGTTGGGACATGGGGGAGGATGCTGGAGTGGGTGG